TGCTCCATGGTGCCAACTGCGGCGCCGTCCCCAATGGGAACCACCGACACAGGCAGGTGGAGAGGAAAACGCTTTGCTGTCCCACGGCGAGGTAGGCAAGCAAGCGGAAAAGCTGAGAACTGGCTGTCCAGGGGGGTCCCTTTAAGCATGAGCCTTAGATAGCCTCAGACAGCAACCACACAAAGCAACTACTGACCTGATGCCCTGCCGGAACCGGTTTCAGCTGCCCTTAAATGCGACCCAGCGTCCAATCAGTGTGGACGTGTTATTTCGAATTAGCAAAACACTAATTCAAATTAGTTTTTGGGTCTGGATGCTTTATTTCAAATTAGCTTATTTTGAATTAACTACAGTTAATTCGAAATAAGTTAGTTTGAATTAGCGCTGTAGTGTAGACATACCCTTGGTCTCTAAGGACTGTGTCAGGGCTCATAAAGATAGAATCCTAGGGCTGGAAGAGACCTCAGGAGTCATTGAGTCCAGCCCCCTACCCAAAGCAGGACCAATCCCAACTAAATCGTTCCACCAGGCTTTATCAAGCCAAGACTTTATAAACCTCCCTAGGTAACCCATTCCAGTGCTTCCCCACCCTCTTACTGAAATAGTTTTTCCTAATATCCAACCTAGACCTCTCTCACTGCAATTTGACGTTAGGGTTTCTGAGCCTATTTCCAAAGCTCATTGAAGTAGTTTTTTCTTTCTCGATGTCTTTAGGTATTGAAAACTGTACTTTAAAACCCCTACCTAGTCTTCCTCCACAAAGGCTATTTAACTACATACTTAAACAGTTACCAGTAATGCCTTTTTATGAGAACAACAAAATGTTATAAAGCTACTCAAAACCCACCCCTAAAATGAACTGAAAGAAACTGAGAGAAGTAAATTAAAAAGAAGTAAAAGTCTCATAATTTGCTTTATTTCAGTAGTTTTACCTGTCATTTTTCCAATTCCATGGTTTGCATTCAGATTCCTAAAAAATGTTTTCTTTGGAAAAAAGTAACCCAGCTCATGTTAAGGGGAATAAACTATTAATTGAAGATGTTGTAGTTCTGTTTATTTCCCTGGAATGACTTCTGTTAGCTTGTATCAGTGGGAGGAAATTCTACAAGGGTGGGCAATAATTTTTGGCCGGGGGCCACTTAAAAAATATTTGAAGTGGTCCCGGGTTGCCCCAAAGGGGCAGGGCCAGGATGCTTCTGGGCTTCTTCATCCCCAGACCATGATTGGTCTGGGGGTGGAGGAGCCCTTTTGCCCCCACCTTCTCACTAGGCACTCATGCCCCTGGCAGGGTGGAAAGAGGCCAGGCAGGGCTTGGGGGCAGGGAAGCACGCAAAACTTCCTCCTGTCCTACCCTCCTCCCGCCAGGAGCACACGGCACTTCCATGCTCCTTGCAGGGTGGGAGGATGCTTAGCGCACTCCCTGGCCAATCAGGGCCTGGGGGCAGGAGAGCTGCACGAAGTGTCCTTCGCCCTGTCCCCGCCCTGCATGAGTGTATGGCACCTTGAAGTGCTGGGTGCTCCTCACAGGGCGGTGGGAGGGAGAAGGAAACTTTGTGCAGCTCCCTGGCTCCCAGGTCAATCAAGGCTTGGGGGCGGGGAAGCATATGACATCTCCTCCTGCCCCACAAGCAGCACATGGCACTTCAAAGCTCTGCGTGCTCCTGGCAGGGTAGGAGGAAGCTTCATGGGCTCCCCCGCCTCCAGGCTCTAATTGGCCTGGGGGTGGGGGAGCAGCAGGGCCTTTGTGGGCCAGATCAACCCGCTTGGTGGGCCGGATTCAGCTCGCGGAGGCCCTTTTGCCCACCCCAGTTCAACAACATGGATAAACTTGGGTGCTTAAAAAAGCATGTTAGACCTGTAAGTTTGTTTTGGGGCTATGGAGTTCTTGCACTTTACATTCAAGCATTTGATGTTGACTACTGCTAGGGACAGGATATTGCATTAGATGGACCTTGGGTCTGCCAATTCCGACATTGCTGTGTTCCCATGTGTAAAGAGACACTAAAATGAGGAATGTCAGTGGTAGATACATGCTGAGAGAAGCATAAAGTTTTCTTTTCATGTGTTTTTTAATAAGCTTGTTGATTTCTTAGTGGACAATTTTTGCTGGATCAGGCACTTAAGGTATAATTTATAGCATCAGATAAAGGTTTTACTAAAATGGAATTGTATAGGCTTCTAGAAATTAGAGGATTATAATTAAATCAGGCCTTCTTTGAGCAGCTTCAGGTATGATGGCATTCAACATATTTGGTGCTCTGAGGCTCAATTTGTCAGGCAGTAGGATGACAAGGTATCTGAATTTATAAAGTGGGGGTAAAGGGTGATGTATCTCCTGACCTTATTGGATGTACATAGATATCCCTTCAGGACTGAACCATTTGAAGTATCCATTAAAGCAAATCAGAAATGCGAGCAGATGCAAACATGATACACCAGTTTCAGGGAGCTGTGTTGTGGGATATATACAACCATCTACAGGCCCTGCAGCACTTTCAAAGTATGTTGCATACGTGGAGGCAAAGCACCGGGCACCTGAATTAGGATGGCCAATGTGAAAGCTCTGCACTATTGTGGCTTGTAGCACTTCGGCTGTATTGGTGGAAGTTTCAGAAGTGCACCTTTGGGCTATGTCTACGTTGTGCTTTCTTTCGCAAGAACGTATGCAAATGAGGCACAGCAATGAATATTGCAGTGCTTCATTTGCATACCTAATGAGCTGCCATTTTTGTGCAAGGGGCTTTTGCACATGAGGGAGTAGTTTGCGCAAAAACCCCCTCTTGCGCAAGAACCATTCTGCCTGAAAATAAGTGGCAGAATGGCTCTTCTGCAAGAGGAGTTTTTTCGCAAGAAGAAGCAGTCTACACTTCTTGCACAAAATCCCCTTGTGCAAAAATGGCGACTTATTAGGTATGCAAATGAAGCACGACACCTCATTTGCATATCTTCTTGCACAAGAATGCGCAATGTAGATGTAGCCTTGTAGTGTAGACAGGATCTAGAGGAAGTGTCCCTTTTTTCCATTTGAAACCATGTGGGAAGATCCTCAACAGGCAAAAATGGAACTGAATGCTCATAAGTACTGTGTTTAGTCGATTTTCTTAGTCGCGGGATGGAGGAAAGGGGGTGTGTTACGGGGTCCACAGGCCCACCCCGCCCTGGGCAGCCCCGCTGCCCCGGTTGCCGTCCCGGACGGTCCCAGTCTCCGTGACGCGGCGCCTGGTCGACCCTCCCTTCGGTTGCCCAGACGATCCCACGAGCGAGGAGGTGAGGGGGGTCCGGGCCCTCCCTCTCTCCAGACCCCAGCCCAGGGCCCTAAGGCGGGGGAGTACACCCGCCCTGGGCTGCTTCCTCACACCCTCGCTCGTCCGCTCACCGGCCGGCTTGTCCCGCTGCCTCCTCGTGTCTCTTAGTCCCTTCCTCCGACGTCCTCCTCCTCCTCGCCTTCCCCTCTTCCTCTACTCCTGCTGTTTTTATACCTGGGGAGGGTGCCGCCCCCGCCCCTCCAGAGCACCCACACCTGCGTCCACCTGCGGTTCTAGCTTCTCCTCCCCAGCTGTTTCCACTCACCCCCAGCGTCCTCTTTGCCTCCAGCAGCAGTGGAGAATAGGGCTGGCTGGGGGCGTCTGCGGGGCCGCCCGCCCCGAGGCTGGTGGGGTGGCGTTCCTCCCCCGTTGTCCCTGCTGACCTTAGCGTGGGGGGTCCTTCTCCCGCGGTGCTCGGGACCGTGTCCGTGGAGCCGCCTCCCAGGCGGCGCGTCCCGGCTACCCC